GTCGTGCCGCTAATTAACGCATATATGATAACTTGGTATTGTTCGTTACCCTAAAACTGTGATCCGGTGTTCTGGCACAAAGGTATCACTCCCAGATACTATCATGTGTCCGGTATCAGAAATCATACCACCTTAATACTGGTTGACAGTTCTTTGATATCAGACAATATCATCAATTAGTAGCTCCACCGTAGGCTGATTACAAATTAGAGCCCCCTTAGATGGATAGTTTCGGATGACTGGTAATGAATTGGTCCTATGAGTTGGTTTTGTTAATTCTAGGGAAAATTGATTACTGCTTCTATGATTTCTGCTACCCGAATGTATAACAACTCGTACTCTCCTGCCTATACTCATCGAAATGACGAGTACAACATCTAAAGGAAATTTGGGAACTAGTGTTGGTTGGAATGTCCTAAGGCCGGAAAAAAAAAAAGAATTTGCTAATAACTCACCTTAGAAAGAACTTAAAGAGATTCAATCTTCCTCCTGAAGATTCGAAACTGTACTAGTACATTTGAAGGGTGAATTCCATCGGGGACCAAGAATGACTGTCCCTTAGAAGTGCTTCCGTCGAGTGCTTCCACTTTAGCACCATTTTGTCGCTTAAGACATTTCTGAAGTCTTGATGAAAGTAAACTTCCTAGGAATTCTAATAGATGGTATACTAACAGATATCGCCAAAGAATCAAACCATTGTTGGTTTCCTACCTTGAAAAGGTTGGTAAAGATGACAAGATAATAGTAGTGGAATTGATAAGTAAAGTATTCGGTGGTACACAATTATCGACACAATAGCCCTGCTTCAGGGCCACAAACTTGTCTCCGAATCGGGATTTTTTCCTTGGCATGAAGGTTGCTGTAAAAAATAAAATAAAAAAAGAAGAAAAATTTACGTTCATATAATTACTAAATTGCCCATATTTTTTATTTTGTTCAGTTTTAATGAGGGAGTTAAAATAGTAATTTCATAGAATCTTGGTTGACAACCACGGTTCTATTAATAAGTAGTTTAGATATAGATAAACAATAAAATGTGCCCATTACATGTGATTGTTTTCGTTTTCAGAATTTTTAATTAATTTCTTTTAACTCAATATTGACACACCGCAACCTGAAAAGTTCACATGGACTCCGAATCGAGCTGTGCTGGCCAACACCAGGAAGGTGACGAAGCCATAAAGTAAAGTGATGTGGAAAATGTGAATAAATTTAAACCTAAAAGTGCCTAAATATAAGAGTGCGCTTTTGAGCAGGAATGAACCCATTTCACACGTGATGTCAGAGCATAAATAAAGTATAGTAAAGTAGGATGAGAATTATACCGTCGGAAGTATACCCACAACAATGTTTTGCTAAAAATCCTCGTCGACACAAAAGCTCTACCACTAATACCTGGAGGGGTGAAAAACAAAGGTGAGTGGGCTTCAAAATAAAGTTTTATAAAAATCTTTTCGAAAACATAATAACCCCTCACCTTAAAACAAGTATAGTTTCCAAAATATACATACTACGTATAGTATGAAAGTACTTACCGTAGCCTACAATATCTCAAGAATTCAATATGTCACAATATATTTCGTAAATAACCATATAACGTTCAACAATCACATAATCTCACATAAACAAACGTATCATATCGAGTGCTCATTGACATATGCTGACACACGAGTTCATGCAGAGATATTCTGACATGAACATGACTGGGAGTAATAATGATTTACGCTCTAGTACTACAATCATGTGAAGACTAGAGCTATGCGCAACATATACGAGTCCTAATTGCCTATAGCAATCTAGGACAGGACTGGCACCTACAATGGATTCAAAGTGAGCGTATGGTGTGATATGCATATACATGTGAAAGACTGGCCCTAGCCCTGGGCGAGTACTAACATCGGTGAAACAACGATGAGCAGATAATGTAAACATGATCATGCCACAGTAATTCAACAATTCTAGTCAATATAATATCATTCATGACCATAAATATAATTAAGGCATCCCCTTATAGTAAGCTTACCTGTGCATCCTGTAGGATTATTTCATAATTTCCCAACAACAAGAAATTTCTTATAAACATTAATTTAATTATGGCAATCACGTAGAAAATTCATTATTATATATATATATGGAAACTAACCAATACACACACACACACACACACACACACACTATATATATATATATATATATAAAAGAAAAAACCCACTCACAAATCATGTCGTTGAGTAAAACCCTTCTCACGGGCATCAAAGATCCTTGCGATGCGTTTCACTTAGAAATGAGATCATTTACTTAAATACAACGTATTAACGTAATTGCGCGTTTTCATACGAAGTACGTCTAATAAATGAACTATTTTAAAATGGTCGGTGGATTTGGATTCAGCACGTCGAGAAACCTAAGGAGGGACCTCAGGTTCCTCCACGCGCCACTGTAAGGCGGCTGCCCGGAAGGCCACGTGCCACCGCGCGCCGAGTTATGTCACTGAAAAAGTTGTCGGCGCTGCCGTGGGCGGCGGCAGAGCACAGTACCTCCAACAGAGGAGTGTGTGCTCCGCTCGTCGGCCATGACGCGCACCCATGCGCAGACGTAGAAAACTAGAATTGGGTCCGGGTCAAATCTGGCCTTGGGTTGCTGAGTTGGGCCTGGCCTACATGGGTTGGATTGGGTTGATAGGCCAAGGGTCATTGGATTGGGCCTAGCAACTGGGTTCGACAGGGTTTCAGGCCATAGGTCGGTCGAATTCTATGAAGAAGAAAGTCGGAGCTTCCCAAGCTCCGATCATCACCAAATTTTAACAAAAACTAATCATTCTGTATACCAAAATGTAGCTCAAGGAACAAGGATTTGAAATGTACCATTAGTTTCCTTGAACGTGGCCGAAGTTGACCAGAAAACGGCTTGAAGCCGCCGAGAAAATCTGGGATGTCTTCCCTGTAGCGGTTTTGTACCAAAACCCACATTAAGACCCTTAAGAAAGCTAGGAACATATACTAAAACATGATCCAAGACGTTTTGGGTGGTTTTCGGAACTTACCATCGTCGGAACTCAAGATCTCACCGAAGAAAATATAAACAGTGATGGTGTCATTATGCAGAGCAAGAAAGAATGAGTAAGAGGTTTCTGCCAGTAGAAGATCGTGATTGAGGGAGTCTGGGGGTTGTGGTGCTAGTCGGAACTGTGATGGTATGGTGATGGTGGTACTTCGGTCTCGGTGCCGGTGGTTGTATAGAGAGATGAGAGTGCTAGAGTGAGAGAGATGGGAGAGAATAGAGAGGAGAGAGAGAGTCCCGATTTGTGGTGGAAGAGAACAAACATGGCAAGGAGAGAGTGGGGAGTTTTTGGGGTGTGTGGGTCCCACGAGCCAAATATAAATTAATAAATATTCAAAATATCCAATAAGAAAATATTAAAATAATAATATAATAATTTCAAAAAATATATAAAATATAAAATAGTAATTTTTCATGGATTCGTAGTTCCTCAAAATCTTCATCGTAGCTCCAATTTTGATTCCGCTTGCGCCTATGCATTTGTACCGTCGAGTACTTCGAGAATACATTAAAGTAATAGCTCAAACGAGTCACGAACTAATGGTCAATGAAAGTCAATAATCTCGCCTCTAGGGTATTTTCATCAATTCACTCTTCTAAAATTAATAAAATTGTAAAAGCAGGGACGGGTTGTCACGATTTACCCACCTAAAAAACATTTCGTCCCCGAAATTTGAAATAAGTTGCTATACATAAAATACTCAAAGATAAAAAGAAATATATATAAAGAATAATTCAAGCCAAAGCGGTTGCATAAAAGAGAATGTCATTCCGTCACGATCGGATTGCAATGATTCCTCTTTCATGCCTCCAAACTCAAACTTTCCTTCTTCTTGAGTACATACTAAAATATACTACTTTTGATGAAAACATAAAGTCAAAAATATTTATATATGTATAATAATATCACGTCAAAATACATACATATATATATATATATAAAGAATAATTCAAGCCAGAGCGGTTGCATAAAAGAGAATGTCATTCCGTCACAATCGGATTGCAATGATTCCTCTTTCATGCCTCCAAACTCAAACTTTCCTTCTTCTTGAGTACATACTAAAATATACTACTTTTGATGAAAACATAAAGTCAAAAATATTTATATATGTATAATAATATCACATCAAAATACATATATATATATAATAACGTAAAGTTAGAATAATTGTACTGAAATTAAAACTGAAAATAGAAAATTTTCCACTACATATTCGTAACGTCACGTACTCCAAGAATAAGCACGTAGTATCTAAAAATGCTAACATACTCCGACAATAAATAAATAAATAACTAAAATGCTAACATAAAAGGACCTACTTGTCCACTTGCTTAACGAACTCAACGAATAAGTTATTGATATTATGGTCTGCAGCTCGCGATATCGACAACTCAATATTGTCTGGATAAGCAAGCAACAAATTCCTGAGAGTGCAATATTACCATTTTGCCCCTCATTGAAATACATATAAATTGTCTGATTAGCGCCTTGATCGTGCTCACGTACTACCATCTCGGGTGATAACGCAAATAAATAGGAATTTTGAGAGAGAGAAGTTGAAGACAATTCAATAAATGTGGGCAAAACATCGCTTGATAAAATTGTTTCCATGGTAATTTTGAGAAGACAACCTTTGAATTTGGAAGTTTGCTTGGCAATTGGCGTGTGGCTCCATTGTTTTCTCCTCCTCTTTGGATTTTGGTTTTGGGTATAATTAGATTAAATTATAAGGGTGTTCGTATCTATTTAAGTGAATTTTTTGGTATATTTGAAAGTTTAAAAAAAAAAATTGACATTTTTGAAATTAAGGATTAAATTTTGGCTATCAATGATAATAGCCCTTAGCCACTCCCACCTCTTTAGTAAAATAATATGATTTGTTAAAAAAATAAATAAATCAAATCATTAACTGTTTTTCTCCCAAATCCCAAAGAAACCATAAAAACCGTTTAACTAACACATCAATAACGGCGTCGCCATCGACCGCCTTTCGAATAGTAAAGGAAAAATTAACGGCTACATTGCGATCCCTCCACTCTCTCTCTCTCTCTCTCTCTCTCTCTCTCTCTCTCTCTCTCTCTCGTTCATCGGAAGACTTCCTTCTTGTCTCAGTTTTCTGTTCTCCTCTCACTCATCCCCTCCCCCCAACCCCAAACAAAAGGAAAACAGAAACCCCCACTGTCAAAATCGCAGTGACGGTGACAAGAAAGATAGTCGGCGACTCTGCGGCGGTAGAAACCGAAACAGAGCACTCTTATTTCTTCTAGGTTTTTCCCGGAAATCCCACTTTCTGTAAATTTTTCGTTCCTCTTTTTCAATTCTTTTTTCTGGGTAGGCCTTAATCTTGGAAATTTGAAAGTTTAATCAAATGGGTTTTGTTTGTTTTCCTGATTTCTTCATGGGTTTCAGTTCTCACTGATGAAGTTTGTTAATTTTCTGTGAAATTCAGATCTCTTGGAGCAGAGTAACACAGAAGAAGAAGCACTGTAATCTTGAGAAGAAGATTCGATTCTTGAATTTGAGAGGATAAAATTAAACTTCAGTTAACTTTTCTTCAATTTCTTCAACTGGGTTTTCATTTTTCGATTTCTAAGCGAATGTTAAATTTTCTGGACATTTTTCAGGTGTCTTTTGCAGATTCTTTGCAAAGATGAATGATTTGATGACCAAATCGTTCTTAAGTTATGTGGAACTGAAGAAACAGGCGCAGAAGGACCTCGAAGCGGATCTTGATGTCGAAACAGGCGCAGGCAAACTCAACCCGTCCGGCCAAGAAAACCTCTCTCAGTTCTTCCAAGAAGTCGGAGCAATCAAGGCCGACATGGAAGAGATCACCAATCTCTTGCACGATCTCCATTGCCTGAACGAAGAGGCAAAGTCCACACACAGCGCCAATATTCTGCACGGGCTTAGAGACCGGATGGAGTCTGACACGGTTGCAGTGCTTCGGAAAGCGAAGATTATCAAGGCGAGGCTCGAAGTGCTTGATCAGTCTAATGCGATCAACAGAAAAATGTCCAATGTGTACAAGGAAGGAAGCACTGCGGATCGGACTAGAATGTCCATCACCGGTGGCTTGAGAGTCAAGTTAAGGGATCTGGTGGACAATTTTCAATATCTGATTCGGATCGAAGGGAAGACGGAACTGGATATGGGGAACAAGGTCCGACACGAGGCGGTGATTGATATCCAAGGAAGTCTGACTAAGCTTCATCAGGTGTTTCTCGACATGGCTGTTTTGGTTGAGGCACAAGGGGAAGACATTGAAAATATCGAAGAGAATGTGGCGAATGCCGGTTATTGCATCAGTGGAGGCACAAACAGTCTTCATTATGCCAGCCAGATGAAGAAGAAGAAGAAGTGGGTTTACTGGGTGTGGGCTGTGGGACTGATTATGTTGACTTGTGGCCAAGTGTCCAAGTGGACAACAAAACAAACAACTTTCGGCTAATAAATAAACCAAAATAAAAAAAAGGTGAAAGACATCATGATGAGGAGGCATCATGATTATGTTTGTTGAAAAGAAAAGTTGATGGTCATGATGATGTTTTTGAATTTTTTATTGGGTGATGATGATGTCTCTTTGGCTTTTTCTTAAAGAAAAGAATAAGGGTTCGGTTGGTGCAATAAGAGAAAAAAAAAAGGCTCATTTTGTTTTAGAGAAGAGTGAGTAGAGAGCTGCAGAGAAAAGGAGTGCATCAGAAAAATAGAAAGGGTGCAGCAACCCTTCGTTGAAGAGAAGAAGAAAGTGCTCTTCTTTTTATTAGCAATCATCCATCATAATTGTTGTTGTAATAGCTTTGAGCTATATGTATAGAGAAGAAATTATACATTATATTTCTTTCTCTATTTGTTTCTGTGGTGTGTGAGAGCTATTGGGTGTATTGGGTTATTTGGGTTGTGAGATTGCCAACACTTTGTAAACTCCCATTTGGTTGATAGTGGATTATTGAGTGAGCTCCTACTGCTCCGAGGACGTACTCCAGTTACACTGACTGTTGAGGAACCTCGTTAAAATCTTGGTGTTCTTTTATATTTTGTTCTTGCATTTTCATTTGATAAATTTCCTGTGGGTTAGCTTGAGTTGGTTCCAACGGTTTTGGTGCTATCCTAGCACAACAATTGGTATCAGAGCACTGGTTGCTCTTGGGTACTGTCTAGTTGCCAAAGATGTCAGACGGGCAAGATGAGAATCCTTTTGGAAGCAGCTCTGGGTTTGCAAGAACTACGGTGCAAAATGCAAAGTTCGAAGTGGAAAAGTTTGATGGCACAAACAACTTCGGGATGTGGCAATGTGAGGTCAAAGATGTGTTGGCTCAACAAGATCTACTTGCCGCTTTGGGAGAGAAGCCGGAAGTTATGTTGAAGCCGGAATGGGAGAAATTAAATTTGTGGGCTTGCTCTTCAATTCGGTTGTGCCTTGCAAAAACTCAGAAGTATTTTGTGATGCGGGAGACATTAGCAAGTGTGTTGTGGCAAAAAAATTGGAAAGACAAGTATATGACAAAGAGTGCAGAGAACCGGCTACACTTAAAGAAAAAGCTCTACCGCTTCCAATACAAAGAAGGTACAAAAATGATTAGACACCTTGATGCTTTTAATAAGTTGATTGCCGACTTGTTAAATTTAGATGAGGATATTAAGGATGAAGATAAGGCCTTAATATTGTGTTGAATTCCTTGCCGGACTCTTATGAGCATTTTGTTACCACTATTATGCATGGTAAAGAAAACTGTGAAATTTGAAGATGTGTCAAATGCCTTGATGAATTATGAAATGAGGCATAGAGATAAAAATCATGATGGTACCTCTGAAGCTTTATTTGTTAGAGGTAGATCATCGGAGAGAAGATCATCTTCTAGCAGAAAAAAATCACAGTCTCGACCTAGAGGAAACTCTAAAGGTAGAAAACATTTGGAAATGGATGAATGTGCCTTTTGTCGTAATAAGGGCCATTGGAAGAAAGATTGTCCTAAATTGAAGACCAAAGGCAAAGAAAGTTCTGAAGCTAATGTTGCTGAGGTTGAAACAGATTTTTCTGATTTTGCTTTAACCACTTCCTCATCATTTGATTGTGCTACTAAGTGGGTGTTGGATACGGGTTGTACTCATCATATGACTCCTCACAAGGATTGGTTTTCAAGCTTGAAAGAGTTTGATGGTGGCGTTGTGTTCATGGGATATGACAATCCTTGCACAACAAAAGGGATTGGTACAGTTCGTTTGAAGTTACATGATGGCATGATTAAAGAGTTGACAGGTGTTCGGTATGTACCGAATTTGAAGAAAAATCTTATTTCTTTGGGTACTTTGGAATCCAAGGGTTTCAGGTTTCATTCAGATGGACAGACATTGAAAGTTACTTATGGTGCACTTGTTGTGATGAAAGCTCCTAGATGTGGCCATTTGTATTTATTGCAGGGAAGCACTGTGACAGGTGAAGCATCTGTAGTCTCTGAAAATATGGGCACATCTGATTCAGATACTACTAGATTGTGGCATATGAGATTAGGCTATGCCGGTGAGAAAGCTCTACAAGGGCTTGTGAAACAAGGTCTTCTAAAAGGTGCCATGACTTGTAAGCTTGATTTCTGTGAGCATTGTGTCTTGGGGAAGCAAACTAGAGTGAAGTTTGGTACTGCTGTACATCAGACGAAGGGCATTCTTGATTATGTGCATTCGGATGTTTGGGGTCCTACAAAGACTCCCTCTTTGAGTGGTAGACATTGGTTCGTGACCTTTGTTGATGATTATTCAAGAAGGTCTTGGGTCTACACTATGAAGCACAAGAGTGAGGTGTTAAGCATTTTCTTGGGTTGGAAGAAAATGGTTGAGAACCAGACTGGGAGAAAGATTAAGATTTTGAGATCGGATAATGGTGGTGAATACACATCCGATCATTTCTTTAAAGTTTGCAAAGAGGAAGGAATTGTGAGACATTTCAGTGTTCGGGGAACTCCACAACAAAATGGAGTTGCAGAAAGATTGAATCGAACCTTGCTTGAGAAGGTTAGATGTATGTTGTCTCAGTCGGGTTTAAGCAAGTCATTTTGAGCAGAAGCAGTTAATTATGCATGTCACATCATCAACCGGTTACCCTCAGCTGCTATTCAGGGTAAGACACCAATGGAGGTATGGACTGGAAAATCTTCTTCTGATTATGACTATATCCGTATTTTTGGTTCACCTGCTTATTTTCATGTGACTGAAAATAAACTTGATTCTAGAGCCAAAAAGGCTATCTTTCTTGGTTTTAGTAGTGGTGTCAAAGGTTACAGGTTGTGGTGCCCAGAGATGAAAAAACTTGTAATCAGCAGAGATGTGACATTTGATGAAGAAAGTATGTTCAAAGACTATGAGAAAAATGTGAAAGATGTCCAACAGGTGGAGCTTGAGAAAGTTGCCTCTGGTACTTCAAATCCTATTTCCGCTGATGTCGGAGCCACTACAAGTGAAGAAGTTGGAGACCATGAGGATGTTGAAGAAGTTGAACTTGAAGATTCTATTCAAGTTGAAGAGCAAGTTTCACCTCAAGAGTCTATTGCCAAGAACAGAGGAAAGAGACAAATTACCAAGCCAGCTCGGTATAGTGATTATGTTGCTTTTGCTCTTCCTATTATCACTGAAGAGATTCCATCCAATTTTGAGGAAGCTATTGAGAGTGAGGAGAAGAATAGGTGGTGCAATGCCATGGGTGATGAGATGAATTCTCTCTTGAAGAACAAGACTTGGGAGTTAGCTAAATTGCCTAAGGGCAAGAAAGCTATTGGGTGCAAATGGGTGTATGCCAAGAAGGAAGATGCTGATGAGAAAAGCAATGTGAGATTTAAAGCAAGATTAGTTGCTAAAGGGTATGCACAAAAGGAGGGCATTGACTACAATGAAATCTTTTCTCCGGTTGTGAAGCACTCCTCAATTCGTATTATGTTAGCTCTTGTTGCACAATATGATCTTGAGCTTGTGCAACTCGATGTGAAGACGGCTTTCTTACATGGTGATTTGAATGAAGAGATCTATATGTGTCAACCGGATGGGTATATAGTGAAAGGGAAGGAAAATTTGTTTTGCAAATTGAAGAAATCGCTTTATGGCTTGAAGCAATCTCCAAGGCAATGGTATTTGAGGTTTGATAAATTTATGAGAGGCCAAAATTATTCTAGAAGTCAATATGATCATTGTGTGTACTTCAAGAAGTTGCAAGATTGGTCTTTCATTTATTTATTGATATATGTTGATGATATGTTGATTGCCTCAAAGAATGTTGAAGAGATTGAGAAATTGAAGAAACAAATGAAGAATGAGTTTGAGATGAAGGATCTTGGTGAAGCAAAGAAGATCCTTGGCATGGAGATCACTAGAGATAGAGAGAAGGGTTTGGTCAGTTTGAATCAAAGACAATACCTTGAGAAGTTGATTCGGAAGTTTGGAGTTCATGATTCAACCAAACCGGTTAGTACCCCTTTGGCTCCTCATTTTAAATTGAGTTATCTACAATGTCCTAAAAATGATAAAGAGAAGCTGCAAATGAAAAATATACCATATGCAAATTTGGTTGGTAGTTTGATGTATGCAATGGTATGCTCTAGACCGGATATTGCTCATGCAGTTGGCATGGTGAGTCGATATATGCATAATCCAGGTAAAGAGCATTGGCAAGCAGCTAAGTGGATATTGAGGTATCTCCATGGTACTCGAGATGTTGGTTTATGCTTTGAGAGAGATGACTCTGGTATTGGTCATTTTGCAGTTGGTTATGTTGATTCAGATTATGCAGGTGATCTGGATGGAAGGAAGTCTACTACAGGCTATGTGTTTACTATGGCTAAAGGGCCAGTTTGTTGGAGGTCCATTTTGCAGTCGTCTGTTGCCTTGTCTACTACAGAGGCTGAATATATGGCAGTTGCTGAAGCTATAAAGGAGGCCATTTGGATACATGGGCTGATTAGAGATTTGGGGGTTGATCAGAAGCAGGTGGAGGTACATTGTGATAGTCAGAGTGCCATTTATTTGGCTAAGTATCAGGTTCATCATGCGAGGACCAAGCACATAGATGTGCGTTATCACTTTGTTCGTGAAATTGTTGGTGAAGGGGAAATCATTCTCCAGAAGATTCCAACTAAAGACAACCCCGCTGATATGTTGACTAAGGTTGTTGGTGTAGCCAAGTTTGTTCACTGTTTGAACTTGGCTCACATTATGCCTATATAAAGAAGGCGTTGAGCAGTAGGAGTTTTGGAGCATTTGGCTCGATATGATTTGTTCTCTTGCTAGTGTTTGGGAGTGATGTTGTGTGTTAATTGTGTTGATTGGCTTATCATGGCGTTTTTCGAAACTTGGCCAAGGTGGAGATTGTTGAATTGTGGCCAAGTGGACAACAAAACAAAACAACTTTCGGCTAATAAACAAACCAAAATAAAAAAAAAGGTGAAAGACATCATGATGAGGAGGCATCATGATTATGTTTGTTGAAAAGAAAAGTTGATGGTCATGATGATGTTTTTGAATTTTTTATTGGGTGATAATGATGTCTCTTTGGCTTTTTCTTAAAGAAAAGAATAAGGGTTCGGTTGGTGCAATAAGAGAAAAAAAAAAGGCTCATTTTGTTTTAGAGAAGAGTGAGTAGAGAGCTGCAGAGAAAAGGAGTGCATCAGAAAAATAGAAAGGGTGCAGCAACCCTTCGTTGAAGAGAAGAAGAAAGTGCTCTTCTTTTTGTTAGCAATCATCCATCATAATTGTTGTTGTAATAGCTTTGAGCTATATGTATAGAGAAGAAATTATACATTATATTTCTTTCTCTATTTGTTTCTGTGGTGTGTGAGAGCTATTGGGTGTATTGGGTTATTTGGGTTGTGAGATTGCCAACACTTTGTAAACTCCCATTTGGTTGATAGTGGATTATTGGGTGAGCTCCTACTGCTCCGAGGACGTACTCCAGTTACACTGACTGTTGAGGAACCTCGTTAAAATCTTGGTGTTCTTTTATATTTTGTTCTTGCATTTTCATTTGATAAATTTCCTGTGGGTTAGCTTGAGTTGGTTCCAACGGTTTTGGTGCTATCCTAGCACAACAGATTATACTAATGGTTTGCATTATTTCGATGTTCGCCTCATGATTAGAACGGAGTCGGTACAATTTAGGGTTTAGTCCTGTGAATGCATGTCTTTAGTGAGCTTTCTGAGCTCATAGAGTACTTTTCTTGACGCGTTTTGTGGTTCTGTTAATCGACAGAAATGTTAATGAGAACTAGACTTGATTTATTGATTTTTTTTTTTTTCACATTGGTTAATTCAGTTTTTGCTTTGTTCTAGTGAATTTGTTTAAGAAACTCATGCTCAATCTCGCACTTTTTTGTAGTGCAATGCCAGATTTTTCTAGAGAGAGAGAGAGAGAGGGGATATACAGGATCGATCATCCATTATTGATGAGCTTCGATTGTTTTGTAGCTTAATAGCTTTGTGTAACAACAATAGAAGACTCGAAAGCAAAGATGATACATTATTTTTACAAAATTGAATAACGGGGACTAGGCACTCTTCAATTAATGCTAAGATGTTGCGTAGCAGTCCACGTATTACCAGGCTCTAGCTGTACGTTTCCAATCTGATATGGGCATGAAGAGAGAGAGAGAGAGAGAGATTATGTTTGAGTTAGAATCGGTACACACATTAGATCAAAAAACAAAAAATATAATCGGTATACAGTTCGTAGTACACGAGGAAGAATATCTAAAGATCGTTCAATAGAAATAGCATCTCATTGCTGACTGATGATGGCAACGTATATCGATTAATGGACACCTTAAGCTTAACAGAGAAATAGAACCACTCCGTAGTTAGTCGAGTTCCCTGTTTGGATACATCAGCATTTTTAGCAGGTAGTATCCCATAGACAATTTCAATTTTGATCAAGTTCAGTCAGTATCAAAGCAACAGTGAAGTTATTACCTTTGCATTTTCGACACAAACAAAGTCTTTGTAGCATGCTTCCATTGTCAGATATGGGTTCCACAAAACAGCATCTGTCCAACTACATAGAGAAAAAGGATAGGGGAGTCAAACAAGTGGAACGGAGAAAAAATTTACCAAACAAATCAAATTAAGATTTAGACTTACTTTGTGTTCTTGATAAAAGCATGTGAAGAAAATGATACGCGCCTTTCTTCCTTCCCCTCCAGTGGATTCTTGGGATCAGGATCTTTATTTAGTGTTTTGCATCCTTTCAAACCGTTAACTGAGGCCCCTTGTACAGCGGCCTGCATGATAAAGGTTAAATGTTACTGATACAATCATTTATACAAGCCCATTTTACGTTATCAATTTCATAATCTTTGCTGAGGATCCTAGTATTTTCAGACTTTTGAAGTCATTAGAAGCAATATATGAATAGATGAATCATTTCCACCTCAAATTATTCCTCTACACCACACTGCTAATTTAGTTATGCCAGAATGATGACTGAACCCCTGAGCATAAAATAATTGTACTTACGCGGAAGTATGTATGCAATGCGGTGCTGAATGAAAATGGTTTGCTGTCTGTATTTTTAATTACAAGTTCAGTGGAAAGGCTCTTTGTTTGCAAAGTGACCTGCAACCATTGAAACACATTAGAAGTTTTGTCCAATCCAGGTTATGGAAAATGCAATATCATATGGAGTCAATAAAATTATGACCACAACTACCATTTTATACATGTGGTGTAACATAGTATTGTTGTGTAGTAGATGTGCATGCCAAGGGAGCTAGACAATTATCATTTTCATAGAGGGATATGTGCAACTGACCTTGTACAAAGCTTGAAAGCTGAAATCCCACATGGAGCGACTGCATTCACCTTCCTTTAGTTCTAAAGTTATGGTAGGATCTCCTTGCACATTTTCAGAATCAATGACGGACCAATCCAGATTTCTTGCAAATCCGTGCTGTTAATTGAAAGCCTCAGAACAATAGCGAAAACCGAACAATGCAGTCATGTATAGCCAAAACAAAGATCTGGATCTCCATACGAGAATCTTTGATGGAAGCAACGTCACTAGACTTGCTACTACAATATCACATCAGGCAATGTGGTTTGTAAAATTTATCAAGAAATCAATCAACCTACCATTAAACTTCAAATCCTAGTAGCCTATATACAAATATCCATCAACTGCCATCTCCCGGGTTTTAAGTGTTTAGGTTTCCAACTCTGGCACTCATCAGAACGGAGTATCTGCTAGCTCCCTAATATCAATTTAACTTGTAACATTAAAGACTGAATGAAGACAATAGTATAGAAACAGATTTAGAGGATTGTACCTGCTGCATAGGGCCTGGTCCAAACTGTGGAAAACAATGTGGAACGCCTCCACTATCCCAAGAGAGTATAGTCAGTATCTCGAAGAAAATTCCGAGCTTTCAGGAAAAATGATTATTCAAAGGCACATGCTTAACAAACAAATCAAAGGAATTTCAGACCCTTTTGAAACATACAAGACACAACGAGACGAAACCACATTTGATATTTCTAAACTAAACCAAGCAACTTGTGAATGATCATTTCCAATATTCTCATCGTAGTAAACATAACTAAGTCAATAGGTGGCTCAAACCCAACAGATACATCAAGAACTTAAGCTTATTGCCTTCAATGATTCAAATTTAAACAGACACGAATAACAATTTATGTTCGAATACCCGAAAAATGAACCCACGAATTCGAAAACAACCTGATTGGTTTCTTCTTGTTGAACACCGCATCAGGTCGAACAAAAAGGAGGTCTCTCCCATTTGGGACTTTCCATGAAGTAATAACACGACCATATAAATATGCATCTGCCTCACTGCAAGCATCAAAACTCATCAACCCATAAAATAATTTCAATAAAAAATTCAAATTTCCGTTTCCAAATGCAAATTCAACCACAACCCACGAAGTCAACACAATGTACCTGCCGCCGGCGCTGGTCAAAACAACCTTTGGCAATTTCTCTTCTCCCTCTGCAAATTTCACCCCCGCAGTGGCGAGCTCTTTGCTGGCGGGGCCGCTTGCAACAGCCATCACGGACTACGGGGAAGATGCTTTTGCGGGGACCAGTTAGAGATGGCTCCTATCCTTTGCAAAGCTCTACTTCCAATGCTATTGTTTCTTCCCGTTCTCCATCAGCATTTGTCAGTTTTCAAGCTCCAGTGAAGACTTGGCATAGTCGATTGGGTCATCCCTCCTCTACTATTTTTCGCAAAGTACTTTCTGGTAATAAACTTGCACTGCAAGGTAAATCCTTCGTTGATTTCTTCTGCTCGGATTGTGCTATAGCTAGAAACCATAAACTACCCTTTCACCCTACTGGTTCATCTACTTCCCATAGTCTAGCTTTGCTTCATTGTGATGTATGGGGACCTGCCCATGTTACTTCTGTGAGTGGTTTTCAGTATTATCTGTTGTTAGTCGATGATTACACCAAATATAGTTGGTTCTTTCCTTTGAGAAGAAAATCTGAGGTGTATTCTACCTTTGTAACTTTCAAGAACTATGTGGAAAAATCTGTTGGAAATCAAATAAAGGCTATACGTTCTGATTCAGGGGGTGAATTCACTAGTGCTTATTTTCAGTCTTACCTTAATTTGCATGGCATTTCTCATCAGTTCTGTTTGTACCATACTTGACCAATCCCGAAACTACCGAGCACCGGCCAACGCTATACTGTCAAGGACCCAGAAGAGTTCCCCTCCGACCAGGAGGCCAATCACTACTCGACACGTGTCAAGATTAGAAGCCAATCAGAGCGCAGCACGTGTCGACATCAAGAACCAATCATAACATGACACATGTCAATGTGACAAAGCTACAAGTTTTTCTATAAATAGGGGTCATTCCCCCACAATATTGGCGAATGCCATTTTGTGTTAAATCATTCACAAGAACTCACTAAATTGAGAGCTTGATCCTTTGTACTTGTGTAAGCCCTTCACTACTAATAAGAACTCCTCTACTCCGTGGACGTAGCCAATCTGGGTGAACCACGTACATCCTGTGTTTGCTTCTCTGTCTCTATTCATTTACGTACTTATCCTCACTAGTGACCGAAGCAACCAAGCGAAGGTCATAAAACCTGACACTTTCTGTTGTACCAAAGTCTTCGCTGATTTTTGTGCATCAACATTTGGCGCCGTCTGTGGGAAACGACACTTATTCCTACTCTCTTCAGCTGTGTCAAGCTGGTTTCTATCATTCGTACACTTTCTTTTGATCAGGCATCCCTCTCCAGCATGGGAAGCGAAGGAAGCCACAGCACACAGAATGACACCCCCCTTGCACATAGTGCGAAACAACGAAAGAAGGAAGGAAAACGAGTTCTTCTTCAAGCTAAAGTCGATGAGTTGGAAGCTCAGAACAACAAGATAGCAATGAGGAATGAGGTCCTCCAGGAGCAATATGAGAAGCTCTTCGAGACACTTCACGAAGCTAGGCAAGCTCAGACACGCGAGCTTGTTGCCCCCGTGGAAGTCAACCATCAACTGGGTGCCCTCCAACATGGAGGGTCACATGCATTCGACATAGAAGCGGAGGGAGACACCTCTTTGCTGAATGGGCAGAAGGATCGAAAGCCGTCTTTCGCGATTGTCGGGATTTCCTGAAGCAACGTCGAGAGAATTCCATCCATATAAGCTCAAAGATCAATGACCCAAGGATTTCTGAGAGACTCGGTCCCCTGCCACGGCCCGAGCCGGCCACCAACTTGGGGAAGGTGCAACAAGTCCTAGAGAGACATGAGGGTACAGGGGACTCAGAGGTGTTCCGACAGACATACCCTGGAAGCCAGTACAGCGAGTCCAGGGAAAAATCACTTGCCCTTGATCAAACCTTCCTAATTCCAAGAGGAGATGGAGATTTACGAAAGAAAGCTCCAGTGGCACATAACTCCGCTCAGGACCCCCTTGTCCTACAACTTCTTGAGGAAGTAAACAAGTTGAAGGCTGAACGTCAGGTTGAAATACCTGACTGGAACCAACCCAGGCCTGGCCCTCTTACAAGGAGGATCCTCAACACCCCCCTTCAAGCAAAGACAAAGCAGAAGCTTGGCTTGCAACTTTATACTGGAAAAGAGGACCCGATTGAGCACCTTAACCTCTTTGAGTCCACCATGGCATACCGGATGCACACCGACGAAGAGCGATGTCTTCTCTTCCCTCCACCCTCTCTGGCGGAGCTCTAAATTGGTATTGTCGTCTTACACCTGAGACGGTAGACTCATTTGAGGAATTGAGGAAACTATTTGTTTCCCAACACATTTTCCAAACCGATCGCTTGCACTCTGCAGATGACCTGTACACTATCCTCCAGAGGCCAGACGAGTCATTACGTATGTATGCTGGCCGCTTCAGCCATGAATACTCCCGGTGTGCCGAGGCAGACGACAAGACTGCCCTCAAAGCCTTCACGGCAGGCCTACGTGATTGTTTCTTTAAATACATGATCAATGCCAATACTTGGAAGACTTACTCTGAGGTGATGGCGCAGACTTATAACCATGCCTCCGCCGAGGCAAAGACATATCAGGAGAAACCCCCTCACCCAACGCCATGGAGGAAGAACTAGCAATAGCTAAAGTTTGACGGTTGGGAAGATCATCCAATGTTTCTCTAGTACAGGACTCTAACAAAGACCCTGAAGACTCCGACATTGCAGACTCAGACTTAGAGCTAAAGCTAGAAGAGCCCTCATCACTAGAACTTCCAGGCTCTGACATCTACAATAAGAAGAAACAAATTCTATCACTACATGCATGATCAAAACATAAGGAAGTTCCTATATTACCCACATGAAGATGGTGCAAAGCGATGCCGGAACCCTTCTCAATCAGAAAGCAATCCGTCTTCCACAGTCACTACAAAAACAAGCAAATGAAGACCGTGTCAAGCGCCAAAAAAAAAAAAAAAAAAAAAAAAAAAAAAAAAACAGCTTCATCCAAAAAGCTTCACCCGAAAAGCTTCACCTCCAAAACTTCACCCAAAAAGCTTCATCCAAAAAGTTTCACCCAAAAAGCTTCACCTAAAAAAGCTTCACCCAAAAAAAAAACTTCACCTCCAAAAAGCTTCACCCAAACAGCTTCACCTAAAAAAGCTTCACCCACAAAGCTTCACCTAAAAAGCTTCACCCACAAAGCTTCACCCAAAAAGCTTCACCTCCAAAGCTTCACCCACAAAGCTTCACCTAAAAAGCTTCACCCACAAAGCTTCACCCGAAAAGCTTCACCTCCAAAACTTCACCCAAAAAGCTTCATCCAAAAAGTTTCACCCAAAAAGCTTCACCTAAAAAAGCTTCACCCAAAAAAAAACTTCACCTCCAAAATGCTTCACCCAAACAGCTTCACCTAAAAAAGCTTCACCCACAAAGCTTCACCTAAAAAGCTTCACCCACAAAGCTTCACCCAAAAAGCTTCACCTCCAAAACTTCACCCAAAAAGCTTCATCCAAAAAGTTTCACCCAAAAAGCTTCACCTAAAAAAGCTTCACCCAAAAAAAAACTTCACCTCCAAAAAGCTTCACCCAAACAGCTTCACCTAAAAAAGCTTCACCCACAAAGCTTCACCTAAAAAGCTTCACCCACAAAGCTTCACCCAAAAAACTTCACCCGAAAAGCTTCACTTAAAAAAGCTTCACCTACACAGCTTCACCTAAAAAAGCTTCACCTAGAAAGCTCCCTCTACATACTTTCACCTACAAAGCTTCACCATCAAAGCTTCACCTCGAAAGCTTCATCTACAAAGCTTCATCTACAAAGCTTCACCATCAAAGCTTCACCCAAAAAGCTTCACCTAAAAAAGCTTCACCCAAAAAAAACTTCACCTCCAAAAAGCTTCACCCAAACAGCTTCACCTAAAAAAGCTTCACCCACAAAGCTTCACCTAAAAAGCTTCACCCACAAAGCTTCACCCAAAAAACTTCACCCGAAAAGCTTCACTTAAAAAAGCTTCACCTACAAAGCTTCACCTAAAAAAGCTTCACCTAGAAAGCTTCACCTACATAGCTTCACCCAGAAAGCTTCACCATCAAAGCTTCACCTAGAAAGCTTCAACACCAAAGCTTCACCTACAAAGCTTCAACACAAAACCTTGCTCCAAATAAACAAATTTTGTTCACAAAACCCAAGATGCCCTTGAACTTGTACAAAAACACAGGTCAACACAAAACATTTTGTTTTGTTCTACACCCACAAACATCCCTGTCATAACCAAACAAGCAATTATGTATATGTTTCCAAACATATTATAATAGATCCAACAACAAGCCAAAGTCCCAAGTTTCATAATGGACAAAAGTACAAGCAATTCATCAATAATGAAGGTGCTACAAAACTTGGAATCTGCCCCAAAATAGAAATCCAACCCAAGAGACTTTTTCTCTCTCTCCCTCTTCCGCCTCCTTTCATCTATCAAATTTCTGCAACCTCTGCTCTTCTCCAATGGAGCTGAATTTTGGACACCCTATAGTTTTTGAGCATATGAACAACTTTCAAGAAGGAACCATTTCTGTTTGAGCGACGGAAATTAAAGTGTTGAAGCTCCAAACATGACAGTCGGATTCTTGCAGATTTCGAAGCTGCTATGATGTTTCGAAGATCTGGAAATATTTAACCATTAGTTCATTCTGAATTTTTGATATGTTATGAAAGAGACGATGAGGCACAACTTCAATGAAGAAAGCATGCTGATCTGAACAATAGAAAATGGAGTTTCGAAGCTCACAACAAATCTGACGGGTTGACAGACAAATGATAAACAGTCACTCATCATACCTGGATTTCTGGAGTTATACTGCTCTGAGGGACCTTAAATTTGGATATGTTGTAGTTCACAAGTTAAGGAACAACTTCGATAAAGAAAGTATGTTGATCTGAATAAGAGAAAATGGAGTTTCGAAGCTCACAACAAGTCTGACAGGTTGACAGAAAAATGATGAACAGTCACTCATCTTACCTGAATTTCTGGATTTGTACTGCTCCGATGGATCTCAAATTTGGATATGTTGTAGCTGACAAGGTGAGGAACAACTTCGGTGAAGAAAGTATGTTGAGATGAACAAGAAAAAATGGAGTTTAGAAGCTCACAACAAGTCTGACGGGTTAACAGAAAA